GTTGACTAGTCATACGTGTATTTGGTCAAGGTTTAAAGTGTGTGAAGATTGCTGAGTTGTTTTGTCTTGGTTGTGTAATTAAATCTACCATTTGTCACCTAAGTACCAATTTCACAAGGTCCCCTTCTCCCCCAAAGTTCTCACAAACCAATAAGACGCGTTTACTGTCAAATATCAATTACAAGGTGCATACTCGAAATTAATTTATGCACTTAAAATAAGTGTGACATCATATTTATCTTACATTATAGAAATACAATTGAATAGCTTTTCCAAGAAGATTGATGCATCAGAAAACACATAAAAATCCTTCTTGGGGCTAACTTTTTAAATGCTTGGAAGCACTGGCGGACCCAAGAATTTTTTAGCGGAGGTGCAATTTTGAAAGGTTAAAAACTCTTTGTGGATTGAACATCTAAGACTTTTTACTTAGATTGACCTTAGGTCCCTTTATTCATTCATATCATACATGAAAAATTGTTCTATGTAAAAATATTGACTAAGTATGAAAAATGGTTTTTCGGAATAATCATTTTCTCAATATAATTTTTGGCGGCTTTTATTCTTTACACATCAAATAAGAAAACTTGATTTTATGGGATTTTATTATGAAGTATATATTGACTTAATGAGCTATCATTTTTAGCCTAAATCGTATTTTGCACTAAAACCGATTTTTCAAATTTTGATTTGGGGGGAATTTGATTTTCTAGTATTTTTATTTGAAACCAAATGGGGGGTACTTCCTTATTTACATTGTAAACTTAAGTAAGTAGAGTAATATAAAAATAAATGAAAGTAAAAAGACAAAGACATTTACTTAAATATTGAAGATGGAATTAAGGAGCAAAAGGGCAATTTCAAGTACCAACAATAGTTTTTCTGGCGAGGAGAGGTTCAGCTGCACCTCTTTGCTCCTTAACAGATCCGCCAGTGCTTGGAAGTGGTACTAACCTTATCGCTGGATCTACTAACAAGTTCGTTCCTTCTGTCTGAAGTTGGTGCTGGCAAATTAATCAGCTTAATTTTCCATGCTCTGAATGGTATCAAAATGAAAGTTATTGCTTTGGAGTACTCTATGTATGTATATCTTTCCAATGTCTAGCATATGAGAAAATAATTGTAATTTGTATAGTATCAGAAAAAATGGGGAAATTATTATGTGCATATACAATGTGCAGTAAAAACAAAAGGAAAACAAACTGCCTTTGAGGTTTCTAGAAGTAAAAGATAAACTTTTCTTATAGAGGCTGCGAAAACACCACAACTTTTGACAAGATGAAATGACATCAATTGGTGAAATCACACATTAACATCATTGAAAAACTTAAATAACACCTTTGCTATTCCTATATATTCTATGCAAACTGCTATGTTGCATGCTTCTGTTTGTAACAAACTGGATCAGTTAAATAAGAATTGAATTGAATTGAACTGAACTGCTATTCCCATTACAAGACCCATTCATCGTTTAGGAATGAATTGAATTGACTGATTTCGAAAAACCTCAACACGAAAATCAAGAATGAATTTTTCGAGACACAGTATGGTGAATTAGCATAATTAGCATTTATACATAAATAAATAAAGAAGATAACGTAAACAAACAAACAAAAGTAAGCAACATGCTTTCATTGAGCCACCCTTAAAAAACAAAAGAAAGGTAAACCACAAAAGAAACAGAATTTAGCCACGCAAATAAACACCTTAAAAATCAAACATTACAAATGCCTCAATATCTTTTCTTCTATCAAAATCAAAATCACATTTTGCAAAAGTTCAATGCTCTCTCTTGCGCAACTTTTCTGTTGTGTAATCTATGCCCATTCATCATCGCTATCACTTTGGAAACCTTTCTTGAAAGTTGTTATGTGATATAAACCACGAGCCCTCCCATCGAAGTAGATATGTGGTAAATATGGCCAGTTAGAATACTTCTGTATCCCCTCCATGACTTCAATGTCCGTAAGAACATCAAAACTTCCAAATTCGACCTCATACTTCTTCAAAAGTCCAACAGCCATTCTGCTAAATTTACATTTGGGCTCCTCAGAGGTTCCTTTCATGAAAGCATGACTCGATTAGAGTCAATCAACTTCTGCAGTCTCCTTTTCAAGGCATCATCAAGGCCAGTTTGCGCTTGAATTTGCTCCTTGGAAGATCCAGTTTCTTTTGCTAACTCTTGGACTGTCTCAAGGTTGGTAGGTGCAGGAGCACTAGGTTCTCCAGCCTTAACTGACCCAGCAACCCTAGCAACTTCATTGGCCAAACTAGATGAATCTGCGACCTTTCCATCCTGACAAAAAAAAACACAAACAAAAAATAACCAAGAGAAGAACAAGATACAGATCAATCGTAGAACCCAAGCCAACAACGAAATTAGTCACAAAAGTGTATCAACAAAAAAATTCTTTTTCCAATCATCACTCAATTCATACTTGCACGCATTTCCAGTTTTCCGACCAAAGTAAGCATTATATTTGCACTGGACATCTAAGTTTCTAGTTCATCTTCCAAACTGTTGATTAATGATCATAAATCCTGTGAAAAAAAAACTCAACAGTCCCAGGCCTGAGCACATGATTCATAAACACCTCAGGTTGCAGTATAACAAAGAAAACCACCATATAAAATTCTTTTGGGGGTGGATAGTCGTTCGAATTGATAAAGGTTTATGTTATAACATAAGGCCTTCTTTTTAAATATCTGATATACACATCCTAGTCCATAATCACATTATAGCCTGAGGCTATTAATAATTAAATCTCACTAAAAACAATCATACTGCAACTATTGTCATCTATCAGTAAACCCCAAAGCTCAATTTCAAACTAAATACCCCATATTCACAGAAACTGATTATTTAGATGCAGAACTTTGTTGAAAGGTGAAAACAATATATTCTCACATCCAACAACCTAAGCATGCTTACTCAAAACCAGTCAGCATCAAATAACCAAGCAAACATGTATATATTATACCCAATAAGAATACCTTCACAAAGGCAGAGTACGGCACATCAGAAACCGAAAAAGGCCCAGGCTGTTCTTCATCTTCAACCTACAATATTTTTCAGCAATTGGAGATTAAAAACAAAACACCAACACACACACAAACACCATAAAAAACCCAGTTAGAGATGAAAAGTGGGCAAAGACCTCGTCCATGTGCTTCGAATTTGAGGGCCAGACCACGCTATCAAGCTCCACCTTGGATTGCACATCCTTCACTGATCCACCCATACATAACAGAATCACCTAAATTCTAAACACTAAACGCACAAAAACAAAGTGTAAAGGCATAGGGCATAATTTTGGGAACATTTTTTTTTTTTTTTTTGGCCAAAGAATTTAGTGAAACTTTCAAAATACTAAGAAATATCCTTTATTAATTAGACTTGTAAAACAAGATAACTTAATTAATAATAAATAATAATAAAGTAAATTTAAGTTTTAAAAAGGTTAAAATAACGTAGTGGGCACTTAATTGTGCTATCTGATTTGAAGTTTTTATATATAAAACTTTCATTACTTCTTATTTTTATATTTCAAAAATATATTCCTTAAAAAAAAAGACTTTACACATCAAATATAAAAATAAATTAAAATAATTAAATAAATAAATATTTATAAATTTTAAATAAATAAAAAAAAGCAAATTGGCGCGGTAAGTGCGTAAATTGGCATAACATCTCTCGCCGTCGATTTCTTTCTGCGATTGAATTCATCATCTATCGTGGGATCTAGCTAGTGGATCCTACCTCACGATATTGATTGGTGAATTAAAGTTGGGCATATGGGTATTGTAGTCTTCTGGGATAGATAGTTGTTTCAACTGGGATTTTGGGCTCCAGTGGGCCTGATTTTATGAATTGCATCAAATTTTTGGGACAGAGATTTAGGGCTAGTTTGGCAATGCTGTGCTTTTAAAAAAAACTGCTTCCGCTGTGCTGCGAAAATAATCAGCTGTGAAAAAAATTAGTTAGGTGTTTGGTAAACTCTATTTAAAAAAGTGCTGTTAGTAAATAAAGTGTTTGGTAAATATTTATCAGAAGTGCTTTTAGTGTGTACAATGACAAAAAAGGACATGAATTATGATGATGAAATTATTTGTTGTTTTCTTATTTCTTTTTCTACTTTTAATTTTGTTTTAAAAAAAAAAA